GTTCACATGTCTATTTTCTAAAGCATTTTAAAAAATAGTTAAACAGAAATTAGTAGCCTCAAAAAATACAATTCGTTTATTTTGGGCACTCACTGCGAGCACAATAGAAATGAATGCGATTTGTTACACAAATGTGCGCAGGAAGGCACAGAACTTTGTGAAGATTTGGTTAACGGTTATAAGTGCAATTGCCGTCATGGCTACACTGGAGAACTGTGTGAAATACACATTGACCAGGTTAGAAATTTCATTGGTTTTGATTTTTAAACCACTTTTTTGCAGACGCTAATCTCCACTTCAGGACCTTAGTTTTGAAGAATTTTTGAATTGTAGTGTGCATCAGAGCCGTGTCTTAATAATGGAACATGCGTGGATAGTGGCTCGCAGTTTCGATGTGACTGCCCTCGCGGATGGAAAGGTGCCAGGTGCGAAGAGGAAGATGGTCTCTGTGCGCTCAATCCATGCCACAACGGTGCTCACTGCGTCAATTTAGTTGGTGATTACTTCTGTGTATGTCCAGAAGGAGTAAGTGGCAAAGACTGCGAGGTCGCGCCAAATCGATGTCTGGGCGAGCCGTGCCACAATGGTGGCGTGTGCGGTGATTTTGGTTCTCATCTGGAATGCACATGTCCAAAAGGTAACATTGAGTGTTACTTCTTTTTCAGTGTCTTGCATCATGCTTCCCTAGCACGTTTGCTTGCGTATACATTGCGTACGGGTGAAGGGACATAAACAAATGTAGTAGAAAATCACAGAGCAGTGGTTATCGGAGCGAATTTGTATCGTTGCCGGCCTTCGAACTATAGCGCATAGGAGGGCGAAAGGGAGGCAATTCAGCATTGGTGCATTAGCCTCTCAAATGAAGTACCGTGCCAAGCGGCAACGTTTGCAATGTCAGTTCTTGTTTGTTTAATCTCGTCGCTGGAAAAATGAGGGCTGATTGCTTTTGCAGATTTCATCGGTAACGGATGCCAGTATGAGTTAGATGCGTGTCAAGAAGGTGTGTGCCGAAATGATGCGAAATGTGAGCTACTAGAAGGAGGAGATTATCGATGCATTTGCGAATCAGGTTGACTTTAGGTGTTACATTTTTGAATCAAGCTTATTGCAGATGTCTCATGTAAGTAAGCATTGCTCCCACGTAACGATCGGAGGACTTGCGCGGCCGTAGGTGTGGAACTGCGGAGGACACACACCCAAACTAATAAACAATCCTTTATTAGTACAGAAGCACAGACCCCCTCTCCAAACAAAAAAAAATCAGAAAACAAACCGCAAAAAAAAAATTCGACAGCAGCTTCAAGCCGCTACCGTACACAGGGGACGGGAGCGGAGGAGCTGTAGCAGCTCCAAGCTGTCGCCGTACAAACAATCACTACTTCATTTTTAATCACAAAATTACATATCACTGAGGGAGAACTCGAAACATTTGCATAACACATGAAATCGATGGCAGCTCGGAAAGACGAAGGGGTTTAACCGGTAACTTCGTTTCCTCGCCGTTAACACCTTGTTCCTTTCGCAACAGCCAAGATTTTGACTGCGCAATTTCCACGTGGGTGTGAGCGGTGCACCGTTGCAGGATTCACTGGGCAGAACTGTGAAACGAATATCAATGACTGTTCGCCTTCTCCGTGCCCTCTTGCAGCAACATGCATCGATCAGGTTGTTCATCTCTTTAGGTCTCGCTGTCATTAAACTGTCGTTTGTTTTTGTGCATTTTGTGCTGTGTAACAGCAGTACAAAAGCATATTGTCACGGAGTTGTGTGTGTGTGTCCGCAGCAACTTGTCTGCAAATTTCAAATCGGGAGCCACAAAAGCTAGGAAGCTGAAAATTTAGGGGAAACTTTCTTCACCCAAGTGCGACCCCGCAAATTTAAATTCAGCCTTCCCGTACTCGCGGGTAACACGTACGGCCCCGTAAAAGTCTGGGCGGGTAAAATTATTATCACGGGAATCATGGGAGCTAGAAGGCTGAAATTTTGTAGGCATGCCCTCCGCCCACATGCTACCCAGAAAATTTAAATTCAGCTTTCCCCTGCCTGCGAGTAACATATAAGGTCCCGTGAAAATTTCTGACGGGTAAATTATTATCTCAGGAATCACGGAGCCTAGAAAGCTGAAATTTTAGGGTTGTGACCCTCTGCCCACGAACGATCTTGCATATTCAAGTTCGGCGTTCCCGCGTTCTCGGGTACCATTTACGGCCCCGTGAAAATTTTTGTGGGTAAACTGTTACCTCGGGAATCACGGAAGGATATTCACCCTTCAAGGTTTCAAATTAGAAAGCAGTGAAAATCATTAATAGGTAACCGTTCGGTAGGCACTGCACAAAATGCATAATCGCGCCGACTAGTCTGGTGCGCGTTGCTATTTATTTCATTCTGCTGTACTGAGACTCAGCTCAGTGTAATCCACAGTCCAAAGCGATCACTTCTGTGCCGATTCGCGAATCTATGATCGGAAATGTTTACCTGAAAGTGTTTAACAACCCTGTAGTAAATTCTGGCAAGCACCTGGAGGTCAATGCAATCATGCATATTTTTTGTGGGCTACTGCGAAAATTAGGAACTGTAGGATTCAGAATTTGAAAGTTACAAAGTCAGTTTAGAAGTAGGTAGGGGCCATAGATCAACATACAGTAGGAAGTTGAAGTCGATTTCAAATTAGAGTATTTGCTTCAGATTACGTAGCGAATTGATTTTTCAAGACTTCAGTCTTGTATTTCTTGTTTGTCTAATTATAAAATTAGCTTGAATTTGAGTCCCTGTATGCAGGTCAGAAAGACTTAAATTGGTTTCACGTTGTTTGTTTCCAGTTATAAAAAGAATTTCTCATAGCTGTCAACTTACAGCTTCTTGGTTTTTCAATTGTAAAATTTTCCGAATTTGAGTATAAGGTCAAAGGTCGGAAAAGAGAACGTGATATGAAATAATTTTAAGTTTCTGGTTTCATATAGGACCGGACACTATGTCCGTAAAATTCCAGCTTCCTAGCTTTGGTAGATATGAAGTTTGATAATGGGTAGAGACACAAATACATTAGATATCCCTTTGCCTTAATACGTTTTCATTCTGTAATTGCGGAAATGCGTAAAATCGCTTCTATAAGTTCTTATGTGAGATCTGGATTTTTCGTGAATAGACTGTAGTTGCATTTAATTTTGAACGGTGTTAAAGCTGGTTACGACATATTGTGCCATTTCATATTGTAATTTAAAATTTTCAATAATTTCACCTGGCCATATAACTTATCCGCATATTTTTAAGGTTGGAGGCTTTTTCTGTCAGTGTCCATTCAATATGACAGGCCTGAACTGTGATAAAGCAATCGATGAGGATTATGATCTGCATTTCTATGATCCTGTGCTTCCGGCTGCAGCTGCCCTTTCCGTTCCATTTAAATTTACTTCATCTGCTTTTACAATCTCACTGTGGGTGAAATTTGATATTCCACTCACACATGGAACTGTTTTAACCCTTTACAATAGCAGGTTTGTCTTTATGCATTTTCGCTCAACTGGAAGTAAAAAAGACTTCTTTTTGTAAGTCTCTGCCTCTCTTTCTGAATAACTCAACTTCAGAAGCTAGGAAGCTGAAATTTTAGGAGCAAAGTCCCCGACCACATACAAAACGAGGAGCGGATGAACTTTCAAATTAATGTTTATTATCTCGAATATGAATCACTTATAAGCAGATTACTTGTGTGCTTATGCATATGTATGCGCAAATCTGTGCTTTGTCAAAATGTTTGCCCAGGGTAACCTATCGCAAAAGCGCATAACCATGTTGGCTCGTAAACATCCATATAGCTCAAATTAAAACGGCGCATTTAATTTTGTCGCAACTGCGTTGCTTTGATGTCGCATCTGTAATGTCGGTGTTTTGCTACACACACACACACACACAGCACTGAAGTCTTGAAGAAGCATATGTGTTTTCAAAAACGAAAGTTT